TTAGGTATGACGCGAAGCGGGAAAAAAAAACCCTTAGCTGTTATAAATTCACTGCAAACCACGGCTTCACGGGGCTTATTGCTTTTATAAAACGGTTATTCCATATACGTAGTTAGGTTCCACAAAATAAAACAGAGCAAATAAATTGTAATGATATTAATAACATTTAATAATTATTAACAGTGTTCTTCCACCAAATAATGTAGTTCCTTAGCATCAGTTGTGGTTGCAACAAAGTGGTTGCCAAGCAACACAAAGTAAACAAAGGTGTATGTTACGTTGTAGAGTAATTTACAACAGCTTCGAACGCGGCTCAGCCAATCAGAATCAAGGACCGGCACTATCTGTTTTATAAAATTCAACAAAGCATTGTTTAACACTTAAAACACATGAAACGTGTTTGCCAGGACACTATATTTTCATAAGAACATTTCTGTACAAATAATGAGTTTTAAATGCATAAATCATATGCATTTTATCATAGAAACACAACTTTAAGAATCTTTTACCCCCTTTTATAAAATGCCAAATTGAATAATGAACCAAAATTAATAACAGTTATTACATGTGTTTTAAATGCATAAATAATATGCATTTCATCATTAAACAAAATTCAAGAATCTTTTTTTTTATTTAATAAGAGAATAGAGAATATCACTGTTGAGTATTACTGTTTTTACTGTATTTTTTTTCTCAATTTTGAGAATCATTTGCTCTCTTATTTTAAAATTCTGAATTAAATAATGAATCAGAATTAATAAACATTGCATTTTATTTTTTGCCTTGGAGGACATCAGAGATTGCATGAAAACGAAATGTTGCAGCAACATTCACCAAAGATTTGCCAGGGCAATATATTTCCATAAGCACATTTCTACACCGATAATGAGTTTTAAATGCATAAAACATATACATTATAATCACATATACTAGATTTAATACTGAATTAAATAAATATGAATTAATAACAATTGGTGGGTTTTAAATGCATAAATCATATGCATTTTACCACAGAAACCACTTTGAGAATCATTTATTAAAATGCCAAATTAAATAATGAATCAGAATCACACTGTTATACTGAATTAGAATTATACAGAATTACTATTTGTACTGTATTTTTACCAAATAAATGCAAATTAGAGAATCATTTGCTCCCTTTTTAAATGCTGAATTAAATAATGAATCAGAATGAATAAAAACATCAGAGACGGCATGAAAAAAAACACATGAAACGTTTCAGTATCATGATTTTTAAATGCATAAATCATATGCATTTTATCACAGAAACACAATTTGAGAATAATTTTCTCCCTTTTTTTAAAAATGCTGAATTAAATAATGAAGCAGAATTAATAAACGCTGCATTTTTACTGTGAAGAACATCAGAATTTGCATGAAAAACATAAAACATTTTCATAAGCATGCTTTTTAAATGCATAAATGTGCATTTTATTATGGAAACACAACTTTGACTCCCTTTTTTCAAATGCTGAATTAAATAATGAATCAGAATGAATTAGCAATGCTGTATTTTGCAGCGCTGCTCATGATGTGGATGACTCAAACAAACGTCCTCCTCCTAAGCCATGACTAATCCACCATCAATGCTAGTAAGATATTATACATCTGTCGCACACTCCGGCAAACACACGTGAACGATCTGCGCTTTACGCGTTCAATCCTTGGGCCACATTTGCATGTGCTGCTGAACGACTCCAGCGTTCACAGAAATCATTCTGCGGCCGCCTGAGTTTCCTGCGGCCCACAATGCCGTCTGCCTCCTCCACACACACACACTCACACACTCACACACTCACACACACACACTCCATTGGAGGCCAGTGACAAACACACACACAGAGTTTATGCTGGAGCTCAATGTGCTCACAAACACACATGCACTTTACACACAAACCACACTAAGTGTGTTTGACCGCACACGTGTTGCGACCGCATGGTCCGGTGCGCTAAATGTGTGGAGTTAATTAGATCGCATTCTAGGCATGTAATGCACCTCATTTGGGTCATTAAGTCTCTTTTGTCACACGCTTTTATCTGGAAAGTATACGGTGAATCACACATTGAAACAAAGCCATAAACACACATGCACATGTGTTTTCAACCTGCCAGGCTGAAGTTCGTGTTAAATCTTGTGCTTTCGGATCCCTTTCTGACACTCAAATGGACATCACATGGCTCATGTGTGTGTGTTTCTGGCTCAAACTGTGATTTGGGTCGTTGTTCTGGTGTACTACATGACAGCAAACGTGAGAGATGGGAAATCTAGACAGTAGCTTTTATTCAAAAGCGTTTCTTCATGTGTGCAGTCTGTTGTCTTTATAATAAGTGCATTAGATGCTAAAAGTGTTCATGTGAAGCACACAGAGCACATGCATTAGCATTTTTTAAAAGAAATTAATACTTTTATTCAGCAAGGATGCATTAATGTGATCAAAGATTTCTATTTTAAATAAATGCTGTTGTGATAAAACTATGAAAAATTTGAACTTTTTCAACATTAATAATCAGAAATGTTTCCTGAGCTGCAAATCAGAATATTAGAATGATTTCTGAAGATCATGTGACACTGAAGACTGGAGTAATGATGCTGAAAATACAGCTGCGCATCACAGAAATACATTACGTTAACATATATTCACATAGAAAACAGCTATTTTGAATTATAATATTTCACAATTTTTACTGCATTTTTGATCAAATAAATAAATGCAGCCTAAAAGAGACATTTAAAAAACTACTAACCCCAAAATTTTTTTAAAGTTAATGCACATGAAAAGAAGCACAAAAAAATGAGCGAAAATGGTGTTCGCAACACAACGTGACAGTGCAACAAAATATTTAAAGTGAAATAAAGGTGATATGATGCAATAATTGTCATTAATATCAATAATGCAAATAATGCAAAAAACTGTAATGATCCTAAACAAATAGGCTTTATTTTCTTTATGCAAAATATATATATTTTTATATTTGAATTTATTGCCATATCATCTTCTAAAGGCTATTTTATTGCAGATCATAAATCAAACATTCAAGAAAATTCAGCTTATTAGAGTTTAGACAATTCTGTACAACAAAACGATTAAAATTCTTTAGTTGTACATCTGATAAAAATTTTATGTTTTCTTGAGTCCATCATACATAACATGTCTTTCGTAATTATGACTTGGCATCTCATCATTTTGACTTTTTATGTCATAATGAATCAGTATCTCATAATTTTTACTTTGTCATAATTATGACTTAGCATCTTACATTTTTGACTTATGTCAATTATGACTTAGTATCTCATAACTTAGACTTTTTATCATAATTATGACTTAATATCACAAAATGTTGACATTTACGTCATAATTATGACTTTGTATCTCATAATTTTGACTTTTTATGTCATATTTATAACTCTTAATTTCTTTAGTTGTACATGTATTAAAAATGTAAAGCTTTTTTTTGAGTCCGTCTTTTAAAACAAAGATTTGTTTTTCAAAGTTTGTCCTTATAGAAGGAAATAAAAAATGGAGCTGACCAATAACATGTTTTACAGTCGATATTACCGTGCTACAGTATTGACATTTTAGTGGTTTCTCTTAACGCAAAGTATAATTTCCTCCTGATTTTGGGGTGAAATGGAGGACGTGGAGTTTCTGGAATGGGAAATACTGGATCTCACCTTGACGAGGTTGAGGATGATGATGGGCGATCCAAACCTCTGCAGCATCTGATCGAAGTGAAGAGCAGCGACGTGAGCATATGGGTCGGCCTGGTCCACTGAGAGAGAGAAAGAGCATTTTAATAACACCAGGTCTTTACAAAAATGATTCAGACATTAGATTCCTGGTCAGGATGACATGAAACCAGAGTTGTTTTAAAGCAAATGAGTTCACATTTCAATTACGTGTCAAATTACCAAAAAAAAAAAAAAAACTGTTTTCAGGTTTATTTCCGGTTTGTCTGCATTTGAGTTTATTCCCACATCAGCTTCTAAAGGCCATTTCAAGGCAGATACAGATCATAATCAAACATTTAATAAAATTCTCATAAAAAGGTTAAACTCTGTGCAACTTGACAACTCAATAAAATATTCCTCAGTTGTATGCATGATAAAAATTGCAAATGTTTTCCTGGTCTTAGAAAACGAGTCCTTCAAAGACCAGCTGATGCCAGAGATAATATTTCAATCAGTTCTTTTAATTAAAAAGTAAAAAATAGTAACTCATAATTAATTACTTTGTCATTATGATATGACATTATGACTTTTAATCTAATTATGACTTTTTTCTCATAATGATTTGAGACCCTGGAGCACAATAGCAGTCTTAAGTCGCTGGGGTATATTTGTAGCAATAGCCAACAAACAATACATTGTATGGGTCAAAATTATCAATTTTTCTTTTATGCCAAAAATCATTAGGATATTAAGTAAAGATCATGTTCCATGAAGATATTTTGTACATTTCCTACCGTAAATATATCAAAACTTAATTTTTGATTAGTAATATGCATTGCTAAGAACTTAATTTGGACAACTTTAAAGATGATTTTCTCAATATTTAGATTTTTTTGCACCCTCAGATTCCAGATTTTCAAATAGTTGTATCTCAGCCAAATATTGTCCTATCCTAACAAAGCTTATTTATTCAGCTTTCAGAAGATGTATAAATCTCAATTTCGAGAAATTTACCCTTATGACTGGTTTTGTCGTCCAGGGTCACCTTTTTTTCCTCACAATTAAACTCAATTATGACTTAGTAAATAATAATGACTGCCATAATTGACTTTTTATGTCAATTAAAACATACTAAATCATAATTACATAACATTATATAATAATTTGATAACAGGTTGAAATTATGAGAATAATCATGATTATGATATACAGTGGGTACGGAAAGTATTCAGACCCCCTTAAATTTGTCACTCTTTGTTATATTGCAGCCATTTGCTAAAATCATTTAAGTTAATTTTTTTTCCTCATTAATGTACACACAACACCCCATATTGACAGAAAAACACAGAATCGTTGACATTTTTGCAGATTTATTAAAAAAGAAAAACTGAAATATCAC